GTTGAATATTTTTTCTGGTGGATATTGAGTTTTTTTGAAAAATAATCGATTGGCCTTTCAATTCCACAATCATCCTCTGGTAACGACACAGCTCCAACACCTACATCGCTTGTGTCGATGGCAATTTTGAAGGGTTTCAAAAACTATGACATAGCTGAAACGGGTGCAGTGGTTAACACTGCTTTTAAATTCCCAAATGCCTCCTGGCATTGTTCCATCCACCGAAATTTCATGTTCTTTTTTAACAAATCCGTCAGCGGTGCCACCACGTTACTAAAGTTTTGCACAAATTTCCTGTAGAATCCGCTCAGTCCTAAAAATCATAGCACTTCCTTCTTCAAGGCTGGTCTTGGAAATTCCTTGATAGCCTTCGTCTTCACGTTCCTCGGTGTCATCCATCCGTGTCCGATGTTGTGCCCTAAGAATGTCACTTCCGCCTTCTCAAATTCTTTTTGCCAAGTTTATGACCAACTTTGCCCCCTGTAGTCTCTCAAAGAGCTCTGCCAAATGGTCCATGTGATCTTCCCATGAATGGCTAAAGATCACTAGGTCATCTATGTAGACGGCACAGTTAGTCAATCCTACAACAACTCTGTTCATAAGCCTTTGAAAAGTGGCTGGTATGTTTTTCGTTCCAAAAGGCATTACATTAAATTGATACAGCCCATTTGGGGTTACAAATGCCAAAAGTTCTTTTGCTCTCTCTGACAAAGGTACTTACTAGTAACCACAAAGTAAGTCCAATTTTGTGATATAAGTGGCTTATTCTACTTTTTCTGCACAATCCGCCAGCCTTAGAACTGGGTATGAGTCAGATTTGGTCACAGCGTTGACTTTCCGATAATCTACACAGAATCGTTGAGTACCATCAGGTTTGGGAACGAACACAGTCAACGAACTCCACTCGCTTTGACTCATCTCCATGATGTCTTCTTGGAGCATCCCCTCCGCTTCCTTTTGAATCTGCGTTGTTTCAAGAGGATTACGCCTGTAGCGGTGTTGTTTTATCAGAACAGCATTCCCTACGTCAACCTCATGTACTATGGCATTAGTCCTCCCCATTCTATTTCTACATGGATCCTCATAGTACTGTAACAAGTCTTTCAATTCAGTTATCTGTTCCTGGGACAGATAGCTTACTACCCTATCCCATTTCTTAAGGACTTCCTCATTATTCAATTTATTCTGAGGTAAATCAAAATCCAAATCATCTAGATTAGAGTCCTCACTCTGAGAGGCAGTAACTAATATCTGTTTCTCTGGTTCCCTGTTCCTGCCACGGCAATGTTTCAGCATGTTCACATGACATACCCAATACATTTTCTTTCCTATCTGGCGTCTTTACCAGATAATTCACCTGACTTCTTCTCAATCTGAGAGGAACCACCAAACCTTGCTTTGAAGGGATGTCGTACCACTGGTACCAGCACCAATACTTTATCCCTACAGGCAAACATACAAATTTTTGATTTCTTATCTGCTTCTTGCTCCATTAGGTGCTGTGCCACCTTCAAATGTTGTCTAGCTAATTCACCTACTCTGTTTAATCTTTCTCTTGCCTCAGATATCTAATTCAACTGTGAGATCTCTGACTTCAGATATATCAACTTTTCCTTAATTAATGTTAAAGGCTCTTCTTACTTTTGTGTTTGAATATCAATTCAAATGGAGTAAACTGAGTTGATTCATTTGGAGCATCTCTAATATCAAATAATATAAATGGGATACCTTTATCCCAATCATTTGGGTAACCATGGCAATAAGCCCTCAGCATTGTCTTTAGTGTCTGATGCCACCTTTCCAATGTTCCCTGGGATTCAGGATGGTACACAGTGATGTAAAGTGTTTGATGCCTAAATTATCCATGACCTCTTTAAATAATTTGGCAGTAAAATTGGACCATTGCTCTGACTGATTCTCCCTGGGTAGCCCATAATGGGTAAAGAAAGCAAGCAACTCCGCCACAATCTTTTTTGGCTTGACATTCCATAATGGAATTGCCTCTGGAAACCTGGTAGACACATCCATTAGGGTTAGCAAATACTGGTTTCCACTTTTGGTTTCAGGGAGGGGACCTACACAATCAATTATAACCTGTGTAAAAAGTTCTTCAAATGCAGGAATTGGCATCAAAGGCGCTGGTTTTATCACTACCTGTGGCTTTCCTAACAGCTGACACACATGACAGTTACAGCAAAATTCAACCACATCTTTATGTAATCCAGGCCCTTGGAAATGTTTCTATATCTTAGCCTGAGTCTTCCTCACTCCTAGATGACCTCCTACAGGTGATTTGTGTGCTACCCACAATAATTCCTGTCTGTATTCTACCGGCAAAACAATCTGGTGAATGTCCACCCATTTCTCATCTGCACTAACCTGCCAAGGTCCCCAATACATTCTGATTCCTTTTCCAAGTAGGCTTTATGATATAAATCCTTTATCGTCTCATCTTTTTGTTGTAACTCTATTAATCTTTCAGAATTAAACACCTCCGCCTGATCCTCTACCTACTTATGTTTTTCTTTTACCATCTCATCAAACAGATTGTCAGTTAACTGGACCCCAACTCCTTCATTTGTCCCCATTGCTTTCCCTTGTTGTTTTAACTTATGGCTGTGGGATCTTGTCACCACACAGTCCAGAAAACATTCCCGGGTATTTTTCTTTTAACTCCTCAGTTCCCTGGTTTTCTTTTGGCTTTTCCACTACAATGGGCATCACTCCCACCTGTGATCCAGCTATATCATTTCCAAGAACAAACTGTATTCCTGGAATAACCAATTTTCCCATCACTCGCACTATCACTTCCCCAGTCTTGATTGGACCTTCTAGCCTTATCTTACACAGGGGAACGCTACCCCTCTCTCCATTTATTTCACAGATTACCACTCTCTCGGGCAATATTTCAGAAGGAGTGCAAATATTTTCATCTCTTACTATTAGAGACTGACTAGCTCCTGTATCTCTCAATAGTTTAACTTCTTTACCTACTCCCCCATTCTACCCGAGTAAATCTTACCCACACAGTTGAAGTCTTTGAAAAGATCGAGCGCTATTTTACTATCCAGCTGGTGACTAGGCTGTGCACTCTGCTGCAGCTCTTCCACTTCTCTTAGGAGTTCCTTCACTACCTCAACTAATCCCACTGGTTTAGCCTCTTTTACCACATCCTTTTTCCCAGTGCCTTTCTTAAACCACCGGCACTGTGACTTTGTATGAACCCCTCCATTACAGTGGAAACACCTGAGGCCTTTCACCTCCTTTCCACCCTCTTGGGTTTCTTTTCTTCACAAATGGGAAACTGTTCCCAGTGTGATCCACTTTTTGTTTTTCATTGAAGGATCTCCCTCTTTCCCAAGTTCTACCCCTCACGGAATGAAATCGCTGTTGGAAGCTAGATTTCGATTTATACTCTAATGCATTTTCACCCGATATCTCTGCAGCTCTTCTCATTGTTTTAACTTTCTGTTCCTCAACATGAATTCTTATCACTTCTGGAAGTGAGATTTTAAAACCCTCAGCAGAATATTATCTTTAAGAGCCTCATGTGTCTTTTCCATCTTTAATGCTGTTATCCATCTCTCAACGTTGCTCTGTTTAATTCTTTCATACTTGAAACAAGTCTGACCTGGTTCTTTTCTGACACTTCTGAAGCGTTATCTATATGCTTCTGGTAGCAATTCGTAGGCACTCAAAAATAGCCCATTTTACTTCTTCATATTCTCTTGACACCTCCTCTGACAGCGCTGCAAACACCTCACTAGCCCTGCCTACCAACTTGCTCTGAATTATCATTACCCACACTGTCTCTGGCCAGTTCATCTGTTTAGCCAATTTCTCAAAAGGAAATGAAAAAGGCGTCTACATCTTTTTCATCGAATTTTGGTAACGTTTTGACATATTTGTATATAGCAGGCCTTTGGCTACGATGGATTTGCTCCTCATTACTATTCCCTTCACTAAGCCTACCTTCCTCCTTCTCCTCCATCTTTTTATGTTGACTTTACTGTCTAATTGCCAACTTCCAAAGTTCAAACTCTCTCTCTTTCTCCCTTTTCTTCTCTCTCCTTTTAGTTCTGTCAGAACAATTATTTTCTTTTCTCTTTCCTCTGCTTTTAACTGTACTTCAAATTGTTTCAATTCCCTTTCTTTCTCTTCAGCTAAGACTCTTCTTTCCCTTTCTTTCTTTTCTAACTCCAATTGTCTAATTTGCAATTTAATTTTTTCTAACTCCACTGCACTTGACTCTTTCTCTGATATACCAAAATGCTTTTCTCCTTGTCCACAGTTAAATGCAATTTTAGCCTGTCTGCTAATTCTAAAAGTGTCACCTTTCTCTATCCTTCTAAACATTCTTGGCAAATTTAGGAAGCATCTTTGACTCCCAGTACCTCTTTAGCAATGTTAAGAGCCATTTCCCCATTTTTGATTTAACCAACAAGAAGCAACTGAAATAAAACAGATTTTCCACCTCTCAATTCAGTTTTATTGAAAGATCCAGGACAGTAGTCCCAAAGTCTGTTTAAATCTGCTGGAACTTTTTGTATCCTAAATCTGTTCAAATCTGTCCAGTGTCTGTTCAGATCTGTCCAAATCCCAGACAAGCCCCCAGTCTGGTATAAAGCAGAGGGCGACACCCCCCCCCGCCACCTCTAAGAACTAACACCAAATTCTAACTTTCTGCCTCGCCAGTCCACAAGTACTCTCCCCAACTTCCCAACAAAATGTAGTGAAGTTTTTTATTAGGTGTGTCTCTTTACAGTATGTTGGTGTGGGTCCTTTAGCTGAGGACAGCTCAGTGCCTTCTAATTGGTTATCATTTGAGGACAGGCCCCAATTCAGGAACGATGATTAGCAAGAGCCGAAAGGTTGGTAGAAAAGGAGGGATAAAAGGCAATGCGAATAAACTCTGGAACGCTGGTAAAAACATAGATTGATATCTAGAATGCAGAGGGCTAACGAACTGACTGACCCAAACCTGATTTCTTCGATTGCAGTCCCTGAGGTTGTGCATGAGACCCGGCAGCTGATAGAGGAAAGGAGGCTGCTGGAGGCCCATGCCAAGCTGATGGAGATGGAGTGCTGGCGAGACAGCATCCTTCAGCAGCTACACCACGCCGGGAGGCAGAACACAGAAGGGGAGCAGATCGTCTTGTCGTATTTCGCCGTTGTCGGTCAGCTCAATGAGGAGCTGGCCAAGGAACTCTGGGATGTCGTGAGCTGCGGCCCAACCCTGGTGAAGCAGGACCCATCCCTGTTTGTCTCGGCCATTCGCATCATCGAGCGGGAAGAGCAAATCGACCAGGCGGCCATGGATGGCCAAAGCCAACACCTGTTTCTCCCTCCTGGGAGGCCGAAAAATCTGCGGCAGACCTTTTTTAAAGTTATCGAGCAGTCAACCACGGCGCAGTTCCGAGTGAGGCAAACCGACACAAAGGGACCGGGGCTGGCCAATCATCTGGCGGTCTTACACAACAATATTCTCAGCGATCTCAAAGTAGTGAAACACTTGATGGTGCAGTGCTGCCCACCCCAGTACAACATCCTACAGACCTATGTGCTGCTGCACCACAGTTGCCTTTCGGGGCATCTGCAAGATATTATCTCCTGGGACTTAGAGAAGAGTGAGATCTACACAGTGCTGAGCTGGATACATCACATTTACCACAGGTAGGTGGCAGGGGAGTGGGAGTCACATACGTGTGCGGCACTCCGATCTGATTCGGGATGGCCTTATGTGGTCAATAATGTTGTGCTGCTGGATGTAGGGGTGTGCCCTTGCCTTGTCATTAGTGCAGACCCGAAGACTGGAAGCTGGCCAGAGTGGACAACAGGCCTCGGTTGGCTCAAGGAGGAATGGCCTCCCTCTGAGGGTCTCCTGACACAGTTAGTCAAGGGTGGCCTCTGATTACCTGCCCAGGTCCTGCTCAGGGCAGTCAGGGCCGGGATCCTGTCCACCCAAAGGAGCTGAAAGCCGGGCAATCCACCAGCCGCCTTGACTCTTCCTGGCCTACTGTGGGCCATCGCTGTCCTGGAATGAGAGAGGGTGGGGTGAGTGCAGTTTTACAGAAGATAAAAGTGGGTGGCACATCAAGAATATTAGTGCAGGTGGGGAGGTACCCCGAGCAAGGGAGTAGGTAGAGCAGAGGGCATGCGGAGTTAGTGGCATCGGAGACTGGGTGGGGCAGTGAGGAGTAAGGGAATGCGTTGCAAGGGAGGGAGTGCATGTGTTGGAGCATGAGCCTCAGTGGGAGATGGTTGCAGTAGCAGGGATGGAGTGGGAATGAGGTATCGGAGGGAAGACGGTGGACCTTACCAGAGTGGAGAAGGACATTGACCTTCGACCTACAGGCGGCTGAGACGGCACTGACCCTGCTGGCAATGTTGGCATGGGTTTGGCGTCATGGCTCCGATGGTGGTCCTGGGTCAAGAGGAGGTCACACTATCTCATCCGGCAGGACCTCCAGGTCCCTGCCTCAAAGCAGGGTACCAAGCCCCTCCGTCAGCCACAATCAGGGCTGTGCAGAGCAGCCCCAGACTTGACAGTGCTTATCTGGGCATGCAGTGGGCTTTTAAAGTGCCAGGGATGCTGAATCACAATTCAGGAGTGGCAAGTTGTTCCAGGAATGGCGCACGCAAGATACGGCGAAAACCGGACATAATACACACCATAGGGATGGAACGGTATTTAATACAGCGAGTTTAGTAAGATTTGGCAAGAAAAGTTCACCCAGCCTCACAGTGAGACTTAACGTGACTTGCACTTAGCCAAGAAAAAGGCGTAAGGTTCAGCCCTCTGTTTCTGAGCACACGTAGCATTCAGAACAAAGTCAATGAATTGATTGTGTGAATTGAAGTGAATAAATATGGTCGGAGAGCCATTACAGAGGCCTGACTGCAGCATTGGCGCTCTGAGTGTCGAGGCATATGTGATATTTAAGAACAACAGGAAGCTAAGTCAGGGGAGAGATAGCAGACTTAACTGAAGGGGCTGTCAATGGAATAGTTACAGATGATCTTGGTTCAGGAAATCAGGGTGTAGAATTGGTTTGGGTGGAGTTGAGGAATAGCAGGGAAAGGAAGTTCCTAATGGGAGTGATTCAGAGGCCCCTGACAGTGACCACAAGAGGTGATTAAGAAGATATGTTGAATGCTTGTGATAACAGGATGGTAATAATTATTGGCGTTTAATCTATGCATAGGCTGGAAAAATTAGATTGCTAAGAGCACACTTTTAAAGAGACATTTCAGAATAAGTACATTCACGCCATGAAGAAAAATTCCAAGGGTTGGACTTGCCAGCTCTGGTTAACTAAAGAAGTTAAGGAAAGCATCAAACATAAGAAAAAAAAGGCAAATAATTATTCAAAGCCGAGTTGCTGGTCAGATTGTAGTAATGAGGCCAGTCAGGTGGACCTCATAGAATCTGAGTTCCCTGATTGGGGCTGTGAATCTGGCTCAATCAGGGAGCCCCGGCTGACAGATAGAAACAGGAGTGTCAGAGGTTCTGCTCACTCTGTAAGCTGGCTCTGAGGGAGCTGAATCAGTGTCAAGGACTTTCCACATGTAAATAAAGGGTGACTTGCTGAAGGGGTACCAGACTCTGTGGAGTTATTTCACAGATGACTGGTTAGAATACAAAGATTAGTGGAGAATGATCAAAATATTCATCAGGACTAATAAATTACAGCATGAGAGGAGTAGCTAGGAACATAAAAGACACATAGTAAGAGTTTCTACAAGAATCTAAAAAGGACAGGACTAAGTAAAGTAAGTACTGGCCCCTGAAAAGTGATAATGGGCAGTTAATAATAGATTATAAAGAAATGGTGAATGTAATAAATAAATATTTTACTTCTGTCTTTGCTTGAGGATACAAAACAGATCCCGGTAATAGGTATAAATCAGGAAGTTGGAGGAAGAGAGATAATGGTGAAATGATAATCCCTAGGGAACTGGTAGCGAACAAATTGATGGAGCTGCAGGTTGAGAACTTTCTGGGTCCTGATAGACTTCATCCTAGGGCCTTTAAAAGTGGTGGCTGAGGAGGCAGTAGATGCCTTGGTGTTAATTGTCCAGAATTTAATCAGAAGTTTTATTCTTGAATCCTATTCATGACAGATGTTTGGCATCTGCTTCTCCATCCTGCACTGTTTATATAACGTTACTTTGGCCAGTGCTCTGCCTCTTTTGTTCATTATTTTTATTCAACTCCTGTTGTGCAGAATCAAATTCATCCTTTTAAGATTGGTATCAGTTTTGGGATCACTGTCTTTCTTGAACGCGAATGGGCAGGGGACAATTTCAAAATGATGCAAGGCTTGGAAATGTAGTTAATTGTGAACAGGTTAGTGGCAGACCTTGAGATACCCAGACATAGGTAGCTGGTGATATGGGTGAGCAAGTGGTAGATGAGAAAAGCGTGATGTGGGCATTTTGGTGGGAAGAACATGGAGAGACAATGTGAACTGAGCAGTGCAATGCAATAGGGATTCAAGAACAAAGAGATATGGGGAGGTATACATGCATAAATCACAGGGAGTGTCAGGGCTGGTTAAGAAAGTTGTTAAAAAGACAGAAAGTTGTTAAAAAGACAAACAGTTCCAAGCTTTAAAAACAGCGACATTGAGTAGAAAAGCAACAAAGTTATGATGTGCGATTTATTAAACTCCGGTTCGGCCTTGAGTGGAATATTGTGTCCAGTTCCGGGTACCACACTTTAAGAAGGATGTGAAGGCTTTAGAGCGAATGCAAGAAATGTTTACTGGCATGGTTCCAGAGGTATGGACTTCAGTTCACATGGATAAATTGGAGAGATCTGATTGAGGTGCTCAAATCATGGGGGACCCGGATAGAGCAGATAGGCAGAAACTGTTCCCATTTGGAATCAGGGTCAGGTTGATTGGCAGAGGCGTGAATGAAGATATGAGGAAAAACATTAGCTTTGACTAGCATTTTCCCGCAAAAATCTTCACAAAGGAATTGTGCCATACAAGTGGAGAATGGTAGGTGTGACCAGTTTCCCCTGACTTCCCAACAGCTTCACCAAAGGAGATAGGTGTAGGACATAACACTGCAAACTGTTTAGTGTTTGCGCAAGTTGTAGGATAAGTACAGGAGTCCATTACTTAAAAAGCAATTCCAAAACATTTAGGAAAACAGGAATTGATCAGGAGCGATCAGTGTCAATTTCCCAAAGCCAGCTCATGAAGGATAGAGTGCTAAATAGGTGCAATATCTTCTTTGGATAATCATGGGCAGGTCTGAGCATCCCGAGATAGGAAGAAAGTGGAGGCCAAGGATACTGGAGCATAGGAGGCTGAGAGTAGTTTGTAAAATTATGAGGGATGTAGAGATAGAGTTGATGATATATGTCTTTTCCCTAGGATAGGGGATTTCAGGACTAGGGGGCACATTTTTAAGGTGAGAGGAGAGAGCTTTAAAAAAGACATGAGGGGCCAGTTTTTTTACACAGAGGGTGGTTTGTGTGTGGAATGTACTTCCAGAGGAAGTGGTGGATGCAGGTACAGTTATAATGTTTAAAAGACACTTGGATAAGTACATGTGTAGGAGTGGTTTTGGGGGGATACGGGCCAAGAGCTGGCAGGTGGGACTAGTTTAGTTTGGGATTATGGTTGACAATAGACTGTTGGACTGAAGGGTCTGTTTCTGTGCTGTATGACTCTATGGCTCGATTACAGTCAGAGCTTCAAGAAGTTACTGAAAGACTTTTTCATACAAGTGATGACTTTACGGTGTGACCTGATGGAGTTTTCCCTGATTATAAATTGTGGTACAAAAACAGTTCTGAGGAAGGGTCACCAGAGCTGAAATGTTAACTCTGATTTCTCTCCACAGATGCTGCCAGGCCTGCTGAGCTTTTCCAGCAACTTCTGTTTTTGTTCCTGATTTACAGCATCCGCAGTTCTTTCAATTTATATTTATAAATTGTGGTAGTCCGTTTCTGCTGGTCTCTGAAGTTTTAACAAGAATATACAAAATTAAGATCTTTTGCACTAAGGACATGGTGGCATAGTGGTTATACTTCAGCACTAGTAGCCCAGACATGAGGTCAAATCCCATCATATCAGCCTAAATTCTGTTAAATAAATCACTGTGAAATAAAAGCTAATATTTGTTGTAACAATGAATGTTATAAAAACTCATCTGGTTGACTAATGTCCTTTAGGGAAGGAAATTGCCCATTCTTACCAGGTCTGGCCTAAATGTGACCCCATATATGTGTTTAATTGCCCTCTGACACGGTCTAGTAAACCACTCAGTTGTATTAAACAGTTATGGAAGAGTATAACACAAATACCACCAGACTAACCACTTAATTTCAACCTAGGCACCAGACATGACAAAAGCACAGTGCAATTAATCCTGCAAGGGCTTACTCACTAAAATCCAGGAAATTGTTAGCAACGTTGGGAGATTTGTTGCGCAGACTAGTCACACTCACAGAATTCAAACAGTGATCCAGACTCCTCCATCACCATTCCTATCTTACCGGCAAGGCAGACCCATTCAAAGTGGTGACCCAGTGGTTATACAGTCTGGAAGCAGTTAACCTCAGAGTCCTCGATTCCTAAACCCTGAACTTCAAACCATTTGGTGCCCTCTGTCAGCTGATAAATCAGCACCCCTCCTCCATGTTGAACACCTTTCTGAAAGAAGCACGAGAGAGAACAGGAAACAGGGACAGTGACCGACAACTGAACGAATGGGAGACAGCAGGATCAGGAAGCAGTAACCATCAGACAACAGTGCACAAGAGAGAGAACACAGACACCAGGTACAAGACAAGGAGACAAGGATAAAAATTCAACATGGACTCTATAAGAAAGTCATGAGGTCATTGGTTGTTGAACAGCTACTGTTAAATATTGTGTTTCAACGCTAGTTGAAAGCCTATCTGGTTCGCTGGTCTCTTTTGGGGAGTAGGGCTGCTGTCCTTGCCTGGTCTGGCCTATATGTGACTCCAGACCCACAGCAACGTGGTTGACTCTTAACTGTCCTCTGGGCATTTAGAGATGGGCATTAATGCTGGCCTAGCCAGTGACGTCCTCATCCTGTGAGTGAATAAACAAAAACTTTATTCACTGGAATGTAGGAGGCTTGGAGGTGACCTTATAGAAGTTTATATAATCATGAGGGGCATGGATAGGGTGAATAGTCAAGGTCTTTTCCCCGGGATAGAGGAGTCCAAAACTAGAGGGCATAGCTTTAAGGTGAGAGGGGAAAGATTTAAAAGGGACTCAAGGGGCAACTTTCTCACACAGAGGGTGGTTCATGTGTGGAATGAACTGCCAGAGGAAATGGTAGGTGCAGGTACAGTCACAGCATTTAAAAGACATGGTCTTGCATTCAGAATTTAGGGAACTAGGTAGAAAATCAGCAACGGGACCTGTAACACAGTATTCTCTGGATTACTCAGCGCCGTGTGCAAATGAGTACCAGAAGAGGAAGACAAGACTGATGAAGGCATGGCTGGAAACATGGTGCAGGAAGGAGAGTTTTCTATTCCTGGGACACTGGGGCTGGCTCTGGGCAAGACAGCACCAAGCAGATGGTTGACACTTGAACAGAGCTGGGACTGAGATCCTTGTGGCGTGTTTGGACAGGGCTATTGGTTAGGGTATAAATTAGTGCATCAGGGAGGGGGAACTGGGAGAGAATAACAGACAGTAATGCTGGAGTGCAAAAAATACTGGCAGAGGCAGGTATTACGAGAAAAGATAGGAAAGAAAATGAGGAGGGATGGCATTTTTGGTTTCGAAAACCATAGCAACATTGAAGAAAAAGTTTGCTACGGAGGGTTGAAAGGACAGTATTGATTTGGCTAGAGTTAAGAAACAAGAAAGGTGCACAATTACATTGCTCAGTGCAGTATATAGACCTGTCACCTCCTGACCTTATTGCAAACGTGAACAAGTGACACAAATTCCAGAGGTGATGTATGAATGACTGCCCAAGACATCAAGGCTGCATTTGACTGAGTATAGCAAGATACCTCTAGTGAACTCAGAGGAAAGGTCTCCACTGATCAGAGTCATACCTAGCACAATGGGAGATAGTTGCAGTTGTCGAAGGTCTCAGCTCCAAAACATCTCTGCAGGAGTTCCTGAGGGTAGTGTCCTAAGCCCAAACTACTTCATCCATCATGGACCTTCCCTCCATCATAATGTCATGAGTGAGTGAGGATGTTCGCTGATGATTGCAAAATGTTCAGCACCATTTGCCACTCCTCAGATACTTATGTCAATGATCTGTAGAGTCATAAAGGTATACAGCACAGAAACAGGCCTTTCGGCCCAACTCGCCCATGCTGACCAGGCTTCCTAAACTGAACTTGTCCCATTTGCCTGCCTCTGGCCTATATTCCTCAGAACTTTTCCTGTCCATGTACCTGTCCAAATGTCTCTTAAACATTGTAATTGTACCAGCCTCTACCCCAACAGGCTGTGTAATCTCAATGGACTGGTTTTTACCAATATCCAACAGCTCGCTTTCGTGGGAATATTAGATTTATTGAATGTCGCTGAAACAAAAGAGACTTTTTGCCAACGTTTTGCATCTGGCACTCAACAATATAACACTGTAAAGGGGGAGAAGCTTTTTATTCTGTATGGGAACAGGGTGCTGATTGGTTTAGAGATGAAAAGCTTCAACAAAATGTATCTTTTTTTTAAACACGATTCCACCTGACCAAATGGCAGAATGGTTAAATCACGTCATAATTTGTCAGGGTGAATTTGCTAAGCGCAACAGCCTCCTTGCACCCTATTCCTGTGTACGCTTCCATTGGAGGCCACTTGGTGCTGGAGGAGGGGGTTTCGTTGTAAAACAAGGCACTGCATGGATTAATGCCTGTCGTGTTGAATGGGAGTCCTCCCGTAGATGCTGAGGGTTGCATACACTGGTAGCCTATCATTGGATGACAGGGAACGTGGCTCGCAGTGTTCCTGTTTAGGTTGGCTGAAAAGGTGGCCGCAGGTCACCAGGGAGAACAGCAGCAGCTGGACGACAGCAAAGAAAAATAGATTTATTTGCCAAATCCTGTTCTGCCTCCATGATATCTAAAATTCTGTTATCCATTCCGCATTGTTATTCTTGCAAACAAACTCCCTTCTTGAGATATTGTTGATACCTCACTGAACAGAGCAGATCTTCCTGAATAGAGCTGAGCCAGAATTGGACGTCCCTGAGCAGACTCTAGTCTACGTCCTGTGACAAATACAATTGCTTCGAGGCTGTGTAGCACAAAAAACCAATTTTGAGCCCAGCAGGTGTCAACTAACAAATAGACAGCTGGGTTTTAATTGGCCTAAGGAGGTCCGAGTCGACATACAGCAGAGATACAGCACTGAACAAACTTGTTTTCAGAGTTTGCTGAGGATCAGTGAAAGGGTGATTAAAAAGTCGAGGGAATGTTGCTGTTAAGGCTGGGATATTTGACAATTACCAACTGGCGAGAAAGGGTTTATTTCTGCATGGGTTTTTTTCTGATTGTCTGCGATATCTTCAACCTAAAACCCGAGACTGAAATCCTCAACCTCTGAGCCTTCCCATCAGCAGCATACTTATTAGAAATCGCCATTTATTACCCAGACAACAATACAGCCGAATGTCTGAGGCTGGCATCAATGTAACCCTGAGAGAGTGCAGTATCATTGGAAGCAATGCCCTTTGGCATTGAGTGATGGTCCTCAAATCCTTACGTGGCAGCACAGTGGCTTAACACTGCTGCCTCATGATGCCAGGGACCTGGGTTCGATTCCAGCCTCGGATGACTGTCTGTGTGGAATTTGCACGTCATCCCTGTGTCTGTGTGAGTTTGCTCCAGTATCCTCCCACAGTTCAAAGATGTGCAGGTTAGGTGGATTGGCCATGCTAAATGTGAAGTTCTGGGGATAGGGTGGATGCGATGTTCTTTAGAGGGCTGGTGCAGACTCGATAGGGTGAATGGCCTTTCCCTGCACTGTAGGGATTCTATCTGCCTGTTAAGGTGCACTGGGACCATAAGTCAATACCATTACCACATGATATTGACTGGACTAGTTATCCAGACCACAGGACGAATAATCTCATAGATACGGGTTCAAATCACACCAGAGGAATTTAAATTCAGTTAATTAAATAAATTAGGGATAAAATGTTAGTATCTGTAGCTGTGACCATAAAACTACTGCACTGTCATAGAAATCAATCTGGTTCCTTAATGTTCCTTAGTGAAGGAAATCTGCCTTGTTTACCTGGTTGGGCCTACATGTGACTCCAAGCCCATAGCAATGTGGTTGGTTCTGGCCTAGCAAGCCGCTCAGTTATATGAGAATCTAGCACCATGATACACTGTAGCATTTGTAGGAAAGTGTCTCACAACCACCTTCTTAGGGGCAACTGGTGGTGAACAATAACCCTGAGCCTTGTCGGCGATGCCCACATTCCATGAGTTAATAATTCTTTTATTTAAGAAGATAGCCCTTGCCCTCCCCCACACAAAAACCGTTGTATACATCAAATGTTTAGATGTCATTATTCTGAAGCTGGCCTGGTAAAATGGATCATTGCCCCTGAAGTAAAGTGGTAATGAGAAGGTCACATGTCCTGCACAACCTGAGAGGATGAAGCCAGCGCATTGAGCTGTAACAGTCCCAAAGGGAATACTTAAAATGGAAAAGAGATGCAGATCAATGGAGGGAAGGACTAATCGGGAGAGCCAGCACAAACATGCGACGGGCCAAATGGCTGGGCTGCACGCTTATAATGATGAAAAGTCACCCTTTCGCTCCAACAAACCATCCTTCATCTTGCCCTCTTCACCACAAAAGAATCTTGCTCAGTGCTGACAGGAAGCCTCCTCCTAGCCAGGGGAAAGGGCCCCACCTCTGAAGAAACCATCGCGCCCAGTAATTGCCGAGGAATGTTAATCATTTGTGATGTTTTTCCTGTAATGGTGTTATCGCAACCTGGTTTCCTGTTTTCCTTTCCTTTTGTTTCTCTCCCAGCCGTCCAAAGATGCTCACTCACCCAGATCTCTCTCCCGATGTCGACATTGTGTCACCGGGACCTCTGATTTCCCAAGATGCCCTGGAGCAGCTGCAGAATAAGTATGTCAGCGCTGTCAGGGTGAGTTCAAGACCTTTTTAAAAGGACTTTTAACTTTGGGAGGGCCCACTGAAACTTACATTTCTCAGCTTCAAAGTGCAAACCTGAACTTTTAAAGGAAAATAAAATACGTAGAGTCACACAGCACGGAAACAGACCCTTCGGTGTAACCAGCCCATAATCCCAAACTAAACTAGTCCCACCTGCCTGCTCCTGGCCCATATCCCTCCAAACCTTTTCTATTCGTCTGCTTATCTAAGTGTCTCTATGAGTTTAAGATTAAGTAAAGCGGTAGCTCACTTTGAGTTCGCAGATACAATCCTCAGTCAGTGTCCGGAATCATTTAGTCTCAAAATCAGATTCCATTGTTTAACTCAGAGTCTCGGGATGTGCAGAGGGGAAAGCAGGCACAACTGTGGGACTCAAAAGAACAAAGATCTGTCTGAGCATGGCCCCTGAGGATTATTAACAGTCAGCTGAGGAGAGAAGGAAAACTGGATCAACAGTCATGTCGTAGAGTGTTGAGGAATGAGTCTCACTCAAAGAATTGCATATAATGAAGATCTTCTTGGCCCAACCAGTTCATCTTGTCCTTCCCCCATTTGCCTGTCTTATTCCCGAATCCCCTTAATATCTTTCCATTCATCTTTAATCAACCCATTCACCTTCTGACCCAGAGACCCCCTCCCCAATTTCCTTTTTCAGCAGCCTGTTTGTGCAAGTTATGACACATCTCTGTGGGCAGCGCGTCCTGAGGTGGGACTTGAGCTCGGACCTTCCGGTCTAGAGGCAGGAGCACTCCTGCTGCCAAGATGGATTTCACCTCATTTGAGTGTGGAATATGTGGTTAGTGCAGTCAATACCCTCGTTCCTGAAAGCCTGATAACTACAGAATACCGGTCGTCAAATGCACTAGTGACTCTGAGTCAGGTATTGGTCAACAGGTTAAATTGGTTGTCCACCCACTTTCAAACACTATTGATGTAGCATCTAATTAATATGTCAGCCATATCATTGGCTGGTTCTACCATCTCGTTCCTTACAGTGTTTGTGAAGTTTGGCAGTGATTGTCTCTGACTGGGCATCCTCATGAACAAGGACCGTTGACTTGGTGTAACTATTAAAGCCTCCGACCTGCCAGAAACAGGTTCAAAGGCTTGGGCTCCAATAGGATATGTTAAATAGGCCATTGTTCAGTTGGATTGTGTTAGGGTTGGCCCATTATATGCTCAAGCAAAAGCCTTACCCATTTTAGTATATCCATTCGGGTATAAAGTGTGAGATTATCCGTTTTGGTCGGAAGAATAGAAAGACAAATTATTATCTAAATGGAGAGAAACTTCAGAGTGCTTTGGTACACAGGATCTTGGTGTCTTTGTGCACGCTTCATAGAAAGCTAGCACACAGGCACAGCAAGTAAGAAGGAAGGCAAATGGAATTTTGCCATTTATTGCTAAAGGAACAGAGTATAAGTGTAGGGAGGTGTTGCTGCACCTGAACAAGGCATTAGTGAAACCAAACCTGAAGTATTGCACACAATTTTGGTCCCCTTTATTGAGGAGGGATGTAGATGCTTTGGAGGCAGTTTAGAGGACATTCACAATATTGATTCCAGAGATGAGCATTTTATGAAGAGAGCATTAGACTTATGCTCTCTGGAGTTTGGAAGAATGAGAAGAGACTACTTTCCCTGGAGCGTTGGAGGTTGAGGGGTGACCTTACAGAGATTTATAAAATCATGAGGGACGTGGATAGGGTGAGTAGGCAAGGTCTTTCCCCCAGGGTGGGGGAGTCCAAAACTAGACGGCATAGGTTTCAGGTGGGAGGGGAAAGATTTAAAAGGGTCCTGAGGGGCAACTTTTTCACACAGAGGGTGGTACTTGTTTGGATGAGCTACCAGAGGAAGTGGTGGAGGCAGGTACAATTACAACATTTAAAAGGCATCTGGATGGGTACATGAATAGGAGGGTTTGGAGGGATTTGCACCAAATGCTGACAAATGGGACTAGATTAATTTAGGATATCTGGTCGGCATGGACGAGTTGAACCGAAGGGCCTGTTTCCGTGCTGTATAACTCTATGACTCTATCTAATTGATGTATATTTAAGATGCTAAAGGTGATTGATGAAGTAAACATAGAAAAGATGTTTCCTGTTGTGGGCCAATCTACAATGAGAGATCGTAGTTTTAGGATAAGGGGCAGCAGATTTAAAACAGAGGTGAGGAGAAATTACTTCTCTCAAAGGGTCGTGAATCTGTGGAATTCAATACCCCACAGTGCAGTGGATTCTGGGACACTGAGTAACCTGAAGGAGGAGATAGGTGGATTTTTAATTACTAAAGGGGGTTGAAGGGCTAAGGGGAGCGGGCAGGAAAGTGGAGGTGAGGCCAAGTTGAGATTGGCCATATTGAATGAGGGAGCAGGTTCAAGGGGCTGAATGGCCAACTCCTGCTCCCAAGTTCTTAAGTGAGATGGAAGGAAAGGTCAGGTCACTCGCCCCTTTCCATTAGAAGTGGAAGGGTTGCTCAGAGTGGGTGCTGAAACTGGGAGAGAGCCAGCCCGAATGGTCAACAGAGTCCAAGCTGAATGGACCAAACAGATTCCCAGATTGACGTTATTTGCTCACCCTAGGTGGCAGTGTCAGACTGGATGCAGAAAGCCTTGGAAGCAGAAGTGAGTGACTGGTACCGAGAGGAGGAGCCTGAGTCTGACCACGAAGGTTACTACCACTCCAGCCTGCCAGCAATTGTGACCCAGGTCAGTATCAATTAGCACCATAATGTGAGCCCCGTGCATTCTCACTGCTCTGTGTCAGGCTCTGTACACAATGTGATATAAATAACATGGGGCATCGGGGACCAGCAACCAGGTAAGGGCTGCTGTCTGCTCCTGACTTTATTTTCTGTTTGCTTTTTTATCTAACTGGTCTCGTTATCTTCATTATTAAGGAATTGTGACCCCCATAATAGACTGAGGTTTCTAGTTATTAATGACTTCATGGAATTATGCAGGTAGCACAGGGATATGGCACTGAGGCGGATGATGGTATGATCTATAATGGCAGTGCACACTTGAGGGGCTGAATGGCCTGCTCCAGTATTCCTGTGATTCTATGAGCAGAAGACCCTTGAATTGAAGTTAAGTCTTCAATGAGCCCTTTTCACACATGTTGCAGGATAATCAGGCATGTCAGAGTAAATTGGAATCATAGAAGATCATGGAGGTATTATACTAATCATCTGAGGTCCAGGTATCCAAGCCGCACCTTCTAACGTTTCAGTGGCCCCTCTTCACTCCCTCATGCCCCTCGAGGGGGAGGCTGATGGTGAAAAGAGGCTATTCTACCACGTCGGGCAGCATAACTGAAGCTGCTCCATCTCCACCAAATATCCATGCACAGTTATGGATGAACAAAGCAGAAGTGCTCTGTGATACATGCTCCCACCCTTAACCCATGGATATTGAAACCAAGTGGCATTGACGTGTAGCTTCCCCCAAACTCAGGTGATCCAGCAGTGGGGCCTGACCACAGGCAGTCTGACATATCAGTGTCACACTGGGATAGCACTATTCCTGGAGTCATGACTGAATTTTATCAAGGTATGCAAAGATTCAAATGTAACTGTTGGATAGTCCCAGGTTAACAGAACATACTAACCAGGTTCCTGTACTTAACCAGAGCTCCTAATTATTACAAATTTGTTAATTTTAATCACAAGTAAACAACTGTGCATGATCTCATATGGCTCTGCTAGTTAAAATTCTAAGCCACTTCTAAAGCCCTTACATACACATGGAGACAAACACATAAAGATTAAAAGAATTGGTGTTATGGGTGGAGGAAAAGCAAATACTTCAAATAGTTCAATTGTACTAGTCCGCAGGATTCAATAGGGTATTCCGTTTGTTTCCTGAGTCCGTTTCACTTCTTTGCAGGAGCCACAGAGCAACTGGTTCACAAATTACAAAGTCTCTGATTTATTGATTTATAGTTTATTCGAACTGGGTGGGAGAAAACAGTTGGCTTCCTTTAACTTAAGTTATTTTACTGGACAAAGAGAGAGAGAGAGACATACCAGCCCCACTTCCAAAGTCCAAAGGCTTCTGACTGTATTGTTCGTATCCACAAGCTATTCAGCTACCCAGGAACCAATCAGAGAGTTGTCATCAGGCTGATGACATTTGGGATCCACAAATTGTCACAAACCAATCAGCAACCTGTTGCCAACCGAATTTTTCTCTACATACACACCCCGGCTCCAAGTCGTCTTGTCCTACACCTCCCGCACTGTTTGCAAAGCAAGGTGTATACACAACCCTTAATGAGTAACTCGCTTTTTAAAGGTGCAGCGATTCCTTCCTAAATACTGGGATGGAGAAAGACTAGATCGATTTAGGTTATATTCACTGGCGTTTAGAAGAATGAAGTGGGGGGAGATCTCTGTAAAATTCTAATGGGACTACGCAGGGTAAATGCAGTAAGGGTGTTCCCCATGACCAGGGAGTCCAAACCAGGGGGTTACAGTCTAAGAATATGGGGTAGACCACTTAGGACTGAGATGTAGAGAAATTTCTCCACCCAGAGAGTGATGAGCCTGTGCAATTCATTACCACAGAAAGCAGTTAAGGCCAAAACATTGAATGTTTTCAAGAAGGAGTTAGATATAGTCCTTAGCACTAAAGAAATTAAAGGATATAGAGAGAAAGCAGGAACAGGTTACTGAGTTGGATGAACAACCATGACCTTATAGATTAGCTGAGTAGGCTCAAAGAACAAATGGCCGACTCCTGCTCCTGCTTTCTGTGTTTCTATTTTCTTTGTTTTGAAACAATCTTTTCCCAATTCCGTTCACAATCAAAAATGAGGTCAAATGAAAAGATATAGTCTTTATGTTGTGGATGGGCAGCCCAGTCTTGAGTAGTGTACGGGTTCCTGATGTTGCTGGCTCAATTAGGGGGACAGTAGCCTCAGTAGGCCCCACCAGGAGAAGTGGATGTTGCTGAGGTGGGAAGGGGGGCCTGAGGCCTATCGCAGGCTAGCTCCAACAGTAAAACTATTTTATTGGGGTTCGGGGTTCGTGGGGTGGGCTAGAATCAAAAGAGGACTCGCCCACGGGGACATTATTGGGCCTCAAGCCCTGCTTCCTGTACCTTCTTTGGGCCAGTGAGCCTGACCCCTCAAGGCTAATGGTGGAAGTCTGCCTGCATTCGACAAGCAGCCCCATAGGGCAGAAGTGGCAGTTGTCACCCTACTATCTGCAAAATGTTGACGGCGCCTAGTTAGAGCTTTTAAGTGTGTGACACTTCCTTGGAATGAGCAGCCCCTTCACACCCACTCCAGCCCCTAAGAAAAGGCCTGAGCACTGATGTGGTTCCCCTCTTAAGTACCCTCCCCCCACTCGTCCCCTCTCCTCACCTCTACCCCTTTGGGCTCATCATAACATTTTAGGCCCTGGTGTTTTTTTTTGATAGAACAGAGAAAGAAAAACTATTTCCTCCAGTGGAACATTCTGGAATGAGGAGATCTATTCTGCCTTAAATTTAGAGCTCTCTTGTTCCTGGCTGATATCAGGAAGAGGAGGATCAGTGTAGACACGATGGGCCAAATGGCCTCGTCCCACACTGTAGGGCTTCTATGATTCTATTCAATGATAAAGAAGCAGCCTTTCACTCACTTACAGTAGTAGAAATCTGGACTTATCTCTCCCAAAAATGGGGAGGCTGGGAATGGAGTGAGAATGTCGATACTGATAATGGAGGAACACAGCAGGTCAGGCAGCATCAGAGGAGCAGGAAAGCTGATGTTTCGGGTCGGGACCCTTCTTCAGAAATCCATAAGTTATGTCCTCATTCTTTACTAAGCTCACTGATGTCAACAATGAAATATTTTAATTGTCTTCTGTGCTTTTAGAGGTAAAGGTATGGGCAATAAATATAAACCAGTTTTAAGCTCTCCTGAGCACTACCCAGTTGTTTCTGCTTGAAATTTTCATGTGAGGATAGTATTGTTCTTAACAATGAAGTCCTTCATCCTTTAATATGTTGCTTGTGCTTGATCGTTGGCCTCATACATTAAACATCATTTTTGGTTTTGTTGCCAAGTGATTTCTGGTCTTAGATCAGAAATTCCATAAATCATGGATTAAAATGTTGAGTGATTAATTTGTATTCCACAGTCACTTTACGACTATTGGAAATTTATTCAAATATAAACATATATTGTTAAATGTTCTACTTAAACAAAAAATAAGCTTGATTCTTACATTACCATGCCATCTCTGTTGTTCAATTGGATTAAATCACCTAATTTTATGTGTTGTACATCAAATTCTGGAAGATAGTATGCATTTTACTTCCTGACTCATAAATCATGTACAGTGGGAATGAGTACAGCCATAGAGTCATTGAGTCATACACCATGGGAATAGATCCTTCAATCCAAATCGTCCATACTGACTAAGTTTCCCAAACTAAACTAATCCCACTTACTTGCATTTGGAACATATCCTTCTAAACCTTTTGAATTCACATACCTGTCCAAATGTCTTTTAAATGTTTGTAACGGTACCTGCATTGACCACTTCCACCAGCTGTTCATTCCATACACAAACTACCCTCTGTATGAAAAAGTTACCCCTCAGGTCCTTCACCTTAAAAATATGCCTCCTAGTTTTGAACTCCCCCATGCTAGGGAAAATACTTTTGCTATTCACCTTATCTATGCCCCTTATGATTTTACAAACCTCCACAGAGTCGTCCTTCAACCTCCTACATGCCATTGAGAAAAGTCCAACCTCTCCTTATGACCTAAACCTTTCAGTCCCGGCAACATCCTAGGAATTAATTTCGGAACCCTCTCCAGTTTAGTAATATCCTTCCTGTAGGATACATTAGCATTTTATACAAAGTGAGTTAATAGGCATTACAAATGAAATGTTGGGAATAGTAAGTAGATAAGGTAGTGACTGTGAACAGAAACAAAGTTAACGAGTGGAATTTTATGCTGGACCTCGGTCTTTGCCCCACCTGCAGCGTAATTGGTCCAAAAAATTCCAGAACTCACTGGAATCTTGGGGGGGGAGTTCCAACAAATTGGAAAACTTGCAACGTGAGCCCCTATTCAAGAATGGAGGGAGATAGAAAGAACCAAACTATAGGCCAGCTAGCTTTACATCAATTGTTGGAAAAAATATTAAAGAAGAAGTATTAAAACATTTCAAAAACCTTAACATAATCAGAGTCAAAATGGTATTGCATGAAGGAAGTCATGTTTGATAAATTTGCTAGAGTGGGTACATGCAATGTATTTAGATTTGTTGAAGGCATTTGAAAACATACTGCTTTAAAGGTTGTTCCACAAAGAATAAGTTCACAGTATTGGCACAGAATGACGATTTGTAACACACAGAAGACAGAATTGGGATAAATGGGTCTTTTTCAAGTTGTAAAATTGTAACTAATGGAATGGCATAAAGATCAGTCTTTGGGTCTTAATTATTTACAATCTATATTAAGGACTTGGAGGAGATATAAGACTACAATGAACATTTCTGGTCCCTGTATGTAAGAAAGGATATATTGGCACTGGGGGCAGAAGAAAAGTGATTCATTAAGCTGATTCCTGGAATTAAAGGATTGATTAACAATAACAGCTGAACAGGTTAGTTCTTTATCCATTAGTATTCAGGAGAATAAGAGGTGATCTTATTAAAAAGTAGAAGATCTTGAGGTGGCTTGACAGGGTAAATGTTGAGAAGAAACTTCCACGAGAGGAGGAATCTTGAGCTCAAGGACACAGTTATAGAATTAGGGAACATTCATTTAAAACTGAGATGTAAAGGAAATTCTTCTCTCAGAGAGCAGAGAATGTTTGGAAATCTCTAGCCCACAGGTAGAACTTTGGAGATGAGATCACGGAACGTATTTAAAGAGGATGAAGTTCCTATGAAGAGTCACCAGACTTGAAACATTAACTTTGCTTTCTTCCCACAGATGCTGCCATATCAGCTGAGTTTCTCCAGCAATTTCTGTTCTTGCATTCAAAGAGGTGGTAGATAGATTTTTGAAATATAGAGGATTTGAAGGCATTGAGGAGCTGGCAGAAAAAAGGAGTTGAGGCCTTGGGCAAATCAGCCATGTTTTTATAGAATCGTAGGGCAGGTTCAACTCTTTGAAGAGCATACCCCTGTTTTCATTTCATATGTTCTTATATTCTTATATATACGTCATTAAATGGGGGCAGAACTGATAAAGATGGCTGTTATTAAAATATGTGATATCCTAGGCTTCATAAATAGATACATAAAGTACAACATCACAGAGGTCAATATTAGAAATTAGTTAGATCTCAGCTGGAGTATTGTGTACAGTTCTGGACGTCATAATTTAGGAAGGATGTGAATTCATTGGAGAGAATACGGAAGAAGTTTATCAGACTGGTTCCAGAGATGAGAAACTTCAAACACGAAGAAAGATTGGAAAAGTCGGTACTGATTTCCTTGGTTAGGAGAAGTTTTCCAAATTATGAGTGGTCTGGACAGAGTAGATAGAGGATAATT